ATCGCGACTTCCGCTTCCCGGTTTTTCTTTAGCGAGCGCCGCTTTGCGCCGTCACCGATGATGCGTCACCCATCATCGCCATACATTCTAGAAAGCTCTCCAGAAAACCCATAGGCGTCGTATCGGGACGGCGTATGGGTTTATTTCGTAACAGTATCTGTGTCTGAGATTAACTAGAAACTGGTGGAGCTTTTGTTCTTTGTGGTGGATAATTTTTTTTTAACATCTACCCTTAGGGTGTACTTTAAGAATTTTATTTAATGAACATGGAGAAAGACTCATTAAACAGGCAACAAAATTTGTAACCGACATTATTATAATAAGTTTAAAAATTGAGCTTCGTCCAAGATGCATTGCGGTAGAGCGCCGTTCTTGCAAGAATTATTTTCTTTGTTTAATTTCTACACTTTCAAACAAAAATCTGGAAAAATGTAATTTACAAATATTAGTGCTATAAAGGCGTTTTCGGGTTTGCACATTCAATTTTTTTTTACAAATATTAATTATGATCGGTAGACAGTCTAGAGTAGCAGGCAAAACTCAGACTTAAGAAGTTTAATTTTTTTTCTAAAAATATGTAGATAAAAATTGAAGACGGATTCATAAACTTCACGTGTAGGAGTAGTACTAGTCATTCGCTGGATGGCTTCTATTACAAACTTCTTAAGATTGCTCGAAAAATAATAAGACCATGAACTGATCTAAACAATTTCATAATCAAAAAATCGTTTATTTAGCTGAGTTTTCACCCGAAATCCTATAACTTATGGTACGTTTACATCTGACATTTATCACACGATATGTCGGACAGTAATTGTGGCTAGTGTAAACGGTACAGAATTTGTGTCTGACATACGTGTTTCGCACATCGGTAATATATGTATGTCCGGTAACAGGTGTAAATACTGATAAGATCCGACGTGTCTGAGAGAAATTACTTTAGTTAACTCCGCGTCTACTTTGGTGAAGCTGTCGGAAACATTGACTGAAAACAAATTGAAGATCGAATTAGTATGTACACGGGAACGTTAGGGCAAATCATTCTCGAACACTAATGCCTAATCTGAATTTGGTATCTTGCTTTGTTACTGAAGGTCCAATTTTTACAAGCTAACTTTTCAAACTCGGGTTGTTTTACTCTCAAAAATTTGAAAATGGAGTTGCATCCTCAGTTGTGAGTTCGGACATCAATTGATTAAAAGCACTTGGTTGATCATATGTCAAAATTCTCTCTCGAACCAACACAAAATGTTGTATCTTTCTTGTTTTCAATAAAATGTGGAGAACAATCGCATAGACTGCAATTTTTGGTCTTTCATCCGGTAAATTTCCTGATTTTTGGAAAACAAGTTATTTGATACCAATTTACGAATCTGGTGACAAGGAGCTTATAACAAACTATAGGGGGATTTGCAATCAGTCTGTGTTACCAAAACTTCTAGATCGATTAATTGCTGATCAGTTAAAAGTAGTATGTAAACAAATAATCGTCGATGAACAACATGGATTCTGTCAAGGCAGATCAACTTCAACAAATCTACTTATATACCAAAACTATATTGTAAGCAGTCTTGAGAGGGGTAATCAAGTTGATTCGGTCTATGAAGATTTTTCAAAAGCGTTTAATAGGGTTAATCATCAAATTTTAATATATAAACTTAATGCAATGAATTTTGATGATAGGTTTGTTAAGTGGGTAGAAAGCTTCATTACAACTCGTTCTCAACTAGTAAAAACCGGCAAATTCCTCTCAAAGGCAGTTATTGTAAAATCCGGAGTTCCTCAGGGGTCCCATTGTGGGCCTCTTTTATTTAATCTCTTTATAAATGATATAGGCAATTCGGTAAAATATTCGAGAATACTTCTATTTGCAGATGACTTGAAAATATTTAGGAGTATATCTTCGGTACTGGAGTGTTCGCTTCTCCAGAGTGATCTCCTAAAGGTTGAAAATTGGTGCAAATGGAACGATATGGAAACAAATTTTGACAAGTGTTATAAAATCTCTTTTTATAGGACTAAATATAGCATTGTTTTTTCATATAAAATCAATCAGATACCGGTCAAGGTGGTTTCGGAAATTCGTGATTTGGGTATTATAATGGACTCCAAACTGTGCTTTGTTCCACTTACACAGTACATTGTTAGTAAGGCTTACATAATGCTTGGATTGATTAATAGATCATTGAAATTATTCTCCGTCAATTCGTATAAATTAGTATATAGCTCCATTGTAAGGTCTCATTTAGAATATGCAAGTGTGGTATGGTCGCCTATGTATATGACCCATATCAAAAGTTTGGAAAAGGTTCAAAATTCGTTTCTACGCACTTGTGCATGGAAATTAGGGTACACAAGAGAAGAATATACTTACCAGAATATAAGGAACGTACTAAATTTAAGCACTCTTGAAAGCAGAAGATTACATACTGACCTTATTTATGCTTTTAGATTATTTAATGGTTATATCAGCTGTTCAGAACTGTTTTTAGTTTAAACTGCCCCACAAGACAGATGAGAAGCAATCCAACTTTTCACACGAAGCTGCATCGTACGAATTATGGATTTTTTTCTCCAATAGCTAGATTAACTCGGGAAGTTAATGCATATGATGTGGAAATTTTTGGTCCGTCCTTAAGACAATTTAAATCTAGCATTGAGAATTTAGTTATTTAATGTATGTAATAATGTAATTTGGGTTTAATTTTAAGTTTATTTAATCTGATTCACCTACATCAGCACTAATTATTGTAATGTGTACTAAAGGGGTCTCCCGTGAATAAATTTATTTATTTAATTAATTATTTATTTATTTATTTATTTATTTATTTATTTATTTATTTATTGATTTATTGATTTATTTATTTATTTATTTATTTATTTATTTATTTATTTATTTATTTATTTATTTATTTATTTATTTATTTATTTATAGATTTGTTCGAACTGGCAATCTCAACAAAGGGAAATCTCCTCCTTTCAATATCTGAAGAAGTTGTTGATGATTTGAGGTGTCGAACTGACAGTGTCAATAAAGGGAAATCTGGAAGGCCTTCAGTGTCTAAGGAAGTTGTTGTGGATTTGAAATGACTCGATCAGAATCCATAAACACCTTTGGCAAGATTGTCTCAGCAGTCAGGAGTTCCTGTTGCAACATGGAATGAACAATGGGTCCAAAGCACTGACGACATTTTGTAAATTAAATAGAATTTTTTTCTTTTTATTGTAATGAATTAGTTTTATTTTTTTGAGATATGAAGAATTTAGGCAACCAGCTATACAGATGCGTCTGGTAACTGTCGTGAATCCTTGGGCATTGAGTAACATTCGCATAAAGTGATAGGCGGCACACATCCATGACCTACTTCGACCCGATAATCACTTATAGAAACCCTGTATAATCCCTACAACTGGGCGTTTTTATTGTTATTTAAGACCATGCGTATATTTTTAGCATTAGTTGGTAATGAATGAATTTTTAATGTTTTAGATTTTCTAGACTCATAAAAAATTAATTTACAATAACCACATAAGTACCTAACATGTGTGTGGGGAAGTGATCCAGTTTTAATAAACTTTTAACATTTGGTTTGAATAATTTAAACGACTATTTGCCAGAATTCCAATGCCCAGTGAAATAATAAAATTTTACAAAAATTTAACACATTTTATATTTTTTATTTTTTAGTAATTCCGAGTATAGTTAATTGATGCGGTATATTTTAATAGTTTCTCATCAATCCGAATACTAAAAAGTACTAATTCATGGTTTACTTTTAAGTGACCAGGACAGTTCTATTCAAAAATTTTTATGGTAAGTAAAGTAGAAACTTTAATTCAGGGAAAAATCAGTCAGTCAAGCGCCATTTTTCATTAAAGCACTCATATGGCAAAAGTGTTTCAATTCAATAGTATAAAAGCTACTTAGAAATCTCCACTCGTATAACAAATAAATTTAAATTGAAGATTCAACAAAATAAAGTTTCCTAAGTAATGTCATAAAATGATCGTAACGCTACCACTTTACTTACGAGATTATCTTTACCAATTTAAGTTCTAAAATCTTGGATGTACAATATGCAAAAGAAAATAATAAAAAAATTCAGCGGAGATTACAGTTAAAATACTTTGTAACATCCAATTAAAATGCTAAAGCAAATACATTACAAAGAATATAGGAGCAATTGTTCATTTTAAGCGAGCTAAAGTAAGGAAAAAATAAAGACCCAAAATTCTAACAGTTGCAAATAATTCCAGTGTAACGTAAAGCAACTTCAACTTGTTTACTCAAAAACCATAACTAACTGATAAAGAAAATGAAAGACAAATAAAAACGGGAATAAAACTTAGATGAAGAACACACGACGAACAATAAAAAAATGTTGATTTATACGTCTACAAGTAGTAATTAATATTGGACAAAAGAATAACGAAACTAGGAATATTTAAACGTGTATTAGATATTTCTTCACTTCACAAACAATAATTATCAGTCAATAACAACATTTGTTAATTCAGTGTCAAATTCACGATGACGGTGGAAGCAACATAATTCCACAGGTCTATTCGAAACTACATCTGACATTGATGAGGCATAAAATAGCTGTTGCGTCTGCTTATTCTCATAAATCGCTCTACTCCAGCCAACCGTGTTATTAACTAACTACAACAGTCTGCTTTTCCATTGTAATAATTTAAATTAATGCCTGACTTTGTTTCGTTGCAAACATCGAAACAGAGAATTATACATTTTTCTAGAAATAGTCAAATAAATATGTTGCATGTAATGAAAATCGACGTTCGCTTTAACAAACCGTATTCGTCTATTTTGATCGTTATTTGTAAGAAAAGAACTGTTTCCACTCAATACATTTTCAATCAACTTTAACGTGTTTAATATGTTACCATAGAACGTATATGTATGTATATTTGTATTATGAAGATTTTGTTATTTCAGTTCTTTCTTGGAACACGTTACTAAAATACGAAATAAAATTTACCTGCAGGTGAAGTAATCTAATTCGGGGACGCATTCGCCGTCTTCTCCACAAGGTCTTGCGATGCAAGGGTGAGGGCAGTTGTCGACGTTCGCTCCGCCGAGGGCCTCTGCCAAAATGGGGACGGTTCTGCCGTTGATATTTACCATTTGGACACAGCCGATAAAGGCTGTCCGTACGCGCACTTGGGGAGAAACGATGCCGAAGTTTGGCACGCCTCCGAGGTAAAGGTTTAAAGGCAAGGAAAGTTGGGTGAAGGCGCCGGGAGAGAGGACTTCAGAGGGTAATTGATTATCGACGGAGAGGATGGCTAAACGACCGGTTCTTGATACTCTGACCTGCAAAAAAATATACAGCGTTATCATATCATCAATAAAGTACCTAATTTTATTTTCAAGAGCAACTTGTAGCATTAAGCGGATTAATTTCGATTGTCTGTTTTTTACAGGCCAAACTTATTGTCAAATGAGATTTATAACTTTTGCTTGACAAGTATGCTTGTCGTCAACGAGGAAGGAAGTTTTACATGTCGGCAACTATACAAAATTCAGACTTCCTTCTTGCATTCTGCAATAGGTTGTCCTGTGTAAATTTTAGAAGTTTGTTGGGGTTAAATTGTTTTTCCTTTTCTTTTATATTTATGAGTTCTGCGTTAAGTGTTTTTTGTGAACTTCATTTGCGCTCAACAGTTGGCCTCGATGTTAAATTTATAACATAAAACTAGTTAAAACGTGTTCGCATGTTCAATGTAATTAAAATTCTCTGAAAACATTGATGTTAGGTTTTCCTGTACTTGAAGCTTAATACTTTCGTGCACCGTATTAAGACACTATTTTTTTTATCAAGTAAAATATCTTTTTTCACGACATTATGTTAATTAAAAAAAAAAGAAACAATGTTGTACTTGTGTGGACTGTCATTTGCATAATAGTTAAATAAAGTGGGCGTTTCAGTACTGAAATTTATATCGTACAAAAAAGTTAATGTTTCGTGATGGTTTAACGTTGTTAATTACGCACAATATATTTATCAGTGTCTTGACCACACTTGATTAGTAACAAAATCTATATTAAATTTTACAACTTAGTTTAGAAATTAAAATGTTTGCTCTATGATGAATAAAATCTTTATTCTTTCTGGTAACAGTAAAATATGTGTGTGGGTAGCAAAGATGGACATGTTCAGTTTTTTTTTTTATAAATACGTAGTAAAAACGTTGGTTACTCAGTAAAATAAATAGTTCATTGCATTCACTTTAATTCATGTCAGTATAATAAATAATATAGTTATAATAATAATTAGGAGTCATATAATACGAAAATCAGGCGATAACTAAAAATAGTTGTTGCCATCTATTGATCCAGTCTTGTTTGTTTTCTAGCCTGTTCTAAAAATAAATAAACAGAATAACTGATGTTCAACAACTTGATTTAGCCAGAGAATTAACCCGGTCCCCAAAAAATACATACATACAAAAGTACTGAATCTTGTTCCACCATTCAACCTTTTTAATTTTTAAAAACCGTAGCCGCAACTTTTTTCATCATGAAATATTTAACACGCATTCTGGAGGTGAAAGCTTAATGTAAAGGTTTCTTACCTCAGTAGCATAGTTTCCCAGCTTTCGTTGATAAATTTAAACCGATTACAGTTGGGTAAATCCGATGGGTATCAATTATTCATCGAATCGTAATGCTGTTCTCCCTGTATTATCCGTTCCCTTGAATGTAGCTAACCAATTAGCTAACAAACCAGTAACGCCAAATTCCATACGATCCGATTTACAAAAAAGGTACCCATTACAAGTAAAAACGAGAATTGCTGAATCATTGCGATAAATATTTATTCCTTTATTCTGTTTAGGCAGGTTTTGTGGTAATGAAACACGAATACTTGTAGCAACCTCAATAATGTTGAAGGAAGTTTGAGTGGAATTTAGATTTTTTTGCTGCTTTGATATTTCAGCAGTGTAAGGGATCATGGACAAAGTTAACTTTGGAAGTTGTTGTATTTGTTTTTGTGATTTACTAAATTAATATTCCACGATGATACAACTACAAAAGTTGGTGAATATTTATTAATATATTTTTTGTCTAAGAATTTGTTTCACAGAAACACTAATGTGTTTATGAGTGCATATTAGGTACAAACTTTAAAAGCTAGGTTTAATGACATACTGAATAATATATAAAAATGGAGGTAAATGTTTATCATACCCAAGCTATCGGCCTCTATTTTTTGATATCAAATGGAATTTTACGTACAGATTTTTTGTAATATGTCGACGGTTCTTAAAAAATGTGTCATAAAATGAAAACATTATATACTGGGTGGAGCAAATTGCTGAAATCGTTAAGTGTGTTAATTTTTGAAGCAAGTTTTTCCGGCTACGTGAATAGGTCAGAGGGGAGCAACTGCACGACCGGCTAGATCTCCAGAATTGACTCCTCTTCATTTTTTATTTTACGTTTTCATTATTGTCAAAAAGAAAATGGTTAGCATTTAGCCACCTGTTGATTGTTTCATTTTATAATACTTACTCCACAGAATTCAGAAAAAAAACCAGTTTTTTATCTTAAATTTAACTCATACTGTCATAAAAAATTGCACTGGTTTTTATTTTCAAAACGAATTTTACGTTTTCCAAGATTTATGCAAAATAGTATGCGCATACCTATATTGTAAATATATTCAAAATAAAGTTCTCAAGATATAGATAACTACCGTTCTTCCATAATTTTATCAAAACATCCAGTTTTAGGAAAACGGCAATTTGATAAATTGAAATTATCTGTGGAACAATGATATATTTATAATAAATGCGCTAAAAATGTCACTTTTTGCTGATATTTTCCAAATGAAATCGGTGGAGGAGTGCAGCAATATTACAAACAAAATAAAGCAGTTTTATATTTAATAGAGTGAGAATACTATGAGAAGAACATGTTGGCCATCACAATCTGTTATTTAGGCTTTGACAAGTGGCGTATGATTTGCGTTCAGAAAAGGGACATTAGTACTAATCCTTCATTACAAAAGTTGAAGAACTCTCTGGATCCGAAAGGAAGTGATTTGAATAAAGTACGAAGAACACTCATAAACTTTGAAAAGACAAAACGAAGCATTATTAGGTTAAATCACTAAGAATCACAATAATGAACGCTGTGGCCAGTTTCAGTGCACTACGTTGTATTGGTGTATTCTTCTCAAAGTATTTCTACTCTACCATGCATATCACATAATATTATAACAGCAATAAATAAAAAGTTTACATTTTTTTGTCGTGTATATTTTTCGATTTAAATTACGCTGTTAGTGGATCTTTGAATAAGATGAATAGAATACATATATTAATATGTACTCGTAATATTGCGTATCACTGAGTTCGTCTATTCTTGAGGGTTTTTATTGAAGAGGAAATCAGGGTTAAAAAAATTTTTAATGACACATTAAAATTTAATAGGCTGAGTGAGTCATTTTAATAAATTATCGCTCCTCGATATCTTATTAATTATTATTAGATATAGCCCTAGTTTATTTTAGAAATTCCGATGTGACATTGCTAAGTTATCCCAATTTTTTGAAAATTTTTAACATAAAAAAAATGGAATAGAGTTATTTTTCAAATCTGGTTTACAATATTTTGTGAAAAGATAAAAAAATATACGTACTGTATTGTAGTTTAAATATATATATATATATATATATATATAATCTGTTACCCTCTTTTACCCATTGGGTGTCGAGGGGGGAGACGCACCGAGCCGCTCAGATAGGTATGGCGATCTTGGCCACCTATCCACAAAGTGACTGCGGACAGCGTTGCTTCATGAGCATTATCGCTGTGCCGCGCTAGGGGCTATCTGAGCCGTACTGCTCCCTTAGTTTAAATAAATTTGGGTTTTAATCTACAGTGTTTATATAAAAAATAAATTATAGGAGTAACAAATAATAAAATTGGCAGCTATGGAGATTTTTAAATTTTTTAAGGAACCCACGGACACGCCGAAAGAAAGAAAAAATAAATAGAGTAAAATGTAATAGTAAAATACAGGGTGTTTTAAGTGAAGAAAAAAAAATATTGATAATTGAAAACTGAAAAGTTTATTTATTTTTTTTTGTATATTAAAATTATATTTAATTGATACCATAACAAAACACGCACTTCTGTTTTCCTCTGTAAAATATTGCAATACAGATCTTGAAAAATAAGGTTGTTGATTTTTTTGTGAACCTTTGATTAAAAAAATAAAAAATTAAATAATTTGGCAACGTCCCATTGGAATTTCCGAAATGAACTAATTTCACACTCTGTAAAGTCGAAAATAATTTTAATGTATGCTACTCCAAAGTATCGTATAATTTTTGACCCTGACTTTTTTCTATCTCTAATAAATTAATGAGATATTGAGAACCGCGAGTTTATTGCCTCACCCTGTATATAATTTTGGTGATATATCATAAATATCCTTCACAAAGTAATTAGCTTTAAGTTTATAAAAAAAAAACAATTCTGTGATGCAGGTGACAAAAACAGAAAACAATTTGACTACATTTTCATTTTTATAACATGGTTACTGTTTATAGAAAGTATGCTTCAACAGGTGTCAAAAAATTTACCTTTTACCAGGGGCGACTGGTGCCAAGGGGCACAAGGGCACGTGCACCCCAAAATTACAACATCTACATATACGTTGGACATAGCAAATAGTAATTTTCAATATTTAAAAAATTATCCGGAAATTTGTGTCATAATTATCAAAACTAATTTTTATCTCGCTCCATTTGTATAAAATGTATCAAAACTTATATTCACTTACATCTAAAGATGTTGTGTCTTGGATATATGATAACGAAGTGCTGATAAAAACCGGAGACCGAATCATGGCTGCTTTAGACTTTTGTTTACACCGTTACCATGGAAACCGTGCGTTTTATCGCGGCATTGAAGTGGAATAGTGCACTGTTCCGACAGTGCCCAGTTCCTGTAACTTAATTGTGGTTTTAATTTTTATTCGGCGAGAGTGAAATTGTTCGATTTGAAATAAAAATAATGAATTCGGTGGAGTATTCAATAAAAAACCGTCTTCTGGCTTACAAGGATACAATTTTAGTGAAAAATTTAGAGATAACCACCCCCGATTTATGAATGAAAAAAAGTGTTTATGACAAAACAAGAGAGTAAATTTTGTGCATGTGCGGTTTTGAAAAAAATAATAAATTGTTTTGTTTTGTGTGTCTCCTCAGTGGACAAGTACTTTTTTACTTTTCTTGAATGTATTTCTGTATTTGTTTCTGTCACACAATTTTGTCTATTAATTGCTAATAACAGCCTGTT